ACGCGTTTAAATCACGAGTAAATCTATTACACTAGATTTCAGAGACTGTTTCTTACAATCTAATCTTCAATTATAATATCGCGCCCACGAATATACACTTCTATCTCACTCTACTTGGAAAATATAATCTACTTTTTTGAAAATTTATCATTTTTATCTAAAGAATATTGTGCGCGCGCGCACTTGTGGGTGTACTTGTGTGTGTGTGTATGTATGTGTGTGTGTGTGTAAGATATTGGAATAAACGAATGAACAGCTGTGTTTTAGCGCGGATCATCTTGTACCTACAACTAATCACGAATCAAATGACATTAATGTGTGATCGAAAGTCAGATATGAAAGTCGACGAAATAGAGCGAAAATAGAGACAGATTCGAGAGAGCTCGAGTTGATCTAGAATAGAACCTTTTTTTTTTCGATTACATCGCGGAAACAAGAGACCGTTTATCACACATTTCTTCTCTCGCATTGATTCTTAGATAAAGCTGAGATCGCTGCCGCGACCTAGGATCCCGCAGCGAGTTTTGCAGTTTTTTTTAAATTGTACGGTGCCTTAATACTTAAGCCTACAGCTAGACCTTGTCTCGTGCGCGACGTCACACGTCATCTGGATACAATATAGTGTATAATTATATTTGCATTTTTATATACATATACATATACGCGTACATATATACAGAATTTCAGACCATTCGTACCACCCATTTGAAAACTAGAGAAGTGGTTATTTCTCTGTGGTTATTCAACTGTATGTTTTCTTTACACCAATTGATTCCTCTCATTATTTGTACATAAAAGTATTAAGATAATCAAAAAATGAATATTTTACAAGATATTTTATGGTTTATGTAAAAGAAATGATTTCAAGCCTCATAACTCGAAAAGTACTTCATGGAAAAATAATTTATTATAGTGTTTTGGAAAGCTCTCGAGATAAGCTACAAGAATATGCAATGAAAAATAGGGGGTTCCATTTAAAAAAATGCACTTCCGATCTGAATCGCCTACTTCCGGCCGGAACCAGAAGTTGAAAATATCACCATTCGATAGAGCGCCGATTTATAAAGAAAATGTTTTCACTTTTTTTAAATAACCACTTCTCTAGTTTTTAAATGAGTGGTACGGGTGGTCTGAAACACCTGTATATGTACATACATTTCTTTCGCTTATCAATTATGCGTGTACGTGTGTGTATATTTTTTGCCTCCATTTTGCACGTATCGCTCTCGCTATCGTTTGCTTTCGCTATCGTATGATCCTAATAACGTCTGATTTCGACCAGCAGAAAAATTCTGGGTCCTTTTTATTATTATAGCTCGTCTTCGTAACGATTCGACGTCGACATTTCCCGAGTTCCCTCCTGTTTACTTATTCCCGCGGTTCAAATATGCAAGTGTGAAACCTCGTGCAAATGTAATAAATGCTGCATAATATTTCACAAACTGATCTGCCTCCTTTGCTTCCGCCCTCACGAGATAATCTCGTTTATTCTCGTAGATCTCGCGAATGCTCGATCTCTATTTGAAGAATTTCTAACGGGACAAACTTCACATCTTTGTCTATAAATAAAGCAAAGTTAATTAGATTTATATAGATTATATAGGCATTAAATTTATCAATTATTTTTAACATTTTTTCGATTTCCAATTCCGTTTTATTTCGACCATTTCAATTTCTCTATCGTTTTTTATCATTTAAATTCGTCAAATCGATGATAATGTAAGTAAATTGATTTTGCTTTTATTATTTGATTAATTTAGTAATACTTTGAGCTCTCCGACTATTTTATTGCCTGCGGATTTTGTTATACTACATTAATTACTGTTCGTATATTACATATCGTGCATTTATGATTTTATCAGGAGAAATCACGCGATGTAATACATAAGTTATTAATTTAAAAAAATCATGCAAATTGTTGATTAGTATTATCGATGTTAAAAATGTTAAATATAAATTCAAAACACTATCTGTTGCCGACTCCATTTAATATATTACAATGACATATTTGTGTGTAAATAGCGAAAGTCGAATATTTCCATTTTTCTTTTAGCCAGTCATAAATATTTTCAATATATCTTAATCATTAATTTTAAAAAGGTTAAATGAAAAATTTAGAATCAATGCAGATAAAATCTAAATTGAGATTCATGTTGCATAATTATATGATTAACTGTGACAAATAATGTAAAATAGTCTCTATTATTATTTTACATCATAAAGATATTTTATTTTAAGATACGTGAAATATACTTATTAAATTATAAAAATAAATTTTATATAGAGTAATGTAAATAAGACTTACAAGTCGTTAAAATTAAATTCTCTTTTCGAGAAAAAGAAATGATATATTTATTTATCATTTTTAAGTATTAAATGTGATAAATTTATGTTTGTTAAATTTTTAACGAGTACATTTACCGCAACGAATCTCATTAATTTTTATCTATAAAAATTATGTAATATATGAAATCAATTATTATTTGTATGAAAAATAAAGATAATCTCGAAAAATGTTTTACCAAGTAAAATTCAATTATTTCTGTTTCTTCATGAATAAAAGAGAGAAAATTAAAACTCTTCATACTTTAGATGTAAAATATAATATTTTGCATTAGAAGCTCGCGAAAAGAATGATCAGTAACTGCTTGAGAAATTACACACGCATACGAAAAACACACATACACACACATTGCCAATTTAGCTCTATATAATCATAAACAAAATTCCCTCTGTATATATCTCTGTCGCGTATCGTATAATGAGCTCCTTAACTAAATTCTCGTCAATTTTTCTTTCCGCACGATCGCGTGACGTTTATCGCAACAAAGAAGCGTTAATAACGCGATCTTTACATTCAATCATAAAATCATTTTACGCCTTCTCCCGTCGAGTATAATGATAAAGAGGTGTGAGCTGTAGATATTTGTATTATTCCGTCGAAATTTACGACTTTTACGCTTTTATCCAGATATTTCTTATCGTTGCCAACCGACTGGGTAGAGGTAAGCCACCAGGAGCGGTTACGTCTCAATAAAACGTTAAACGGAGACGAAACGAGAGAGCCTTAATGCGACTTCACTCACGCCCGTAACCTTTAAACTCAAGGCGCATTTGCATCGGGAACCACTTACCTCCTTCTCTGATTTTATCTTGAATAAAAGTTCGCCCGCGATAAAATGAATAAACCGGACGATTGATTCCGAATCTCCTCTCGGTCTCCCTCTCGCCCTTCCTCTCACTTTCCTCTAGACGTCCTCGATATAAGCGTTTAATATTAACGTCGACAACGCATTCGTAATTTCTTCGAATGAATGTGCGGAATCAGGCTTCCAGAATTTCCACAAAACTGGACATCGGCTCGCATTCAAATTCCATTATCTACATCCTGAGAGTAACACAAATTTTCAAATTTTCCTTAAAACATATACACGTGATATGCAATTGTTCAATTTCTCTGGTAGCAAGTAACGTGTATCTTGGACGAAGCAGATTTTAAAAATTCACCAAGCTTGTTTCTCGTTTTCTTTCTTTGAAAATCAGCTTAGATACGTAGTCTCTATCTGTCTCTTCTGAAAGATACTCTTAAAAGCTTGGCGGAGACGACGTAGTCCACTTCATTTTAGCATCTTTGATTCCGTTGAGAGACTCGAAAGAGAGCGCTTCGCTGAGGCAGCATTCAAGAGAACTTCGCGAAAAACGAGAAAATAATGATATCATTGTAATTCGCTTCGATAAGAATATTGCTGTGAGCATCATTCGTTTCGTGCAACGAGCGAATGTCTCGTTTGATTACGTTTCAATTGAGGATAATAAATAAATTCCAGATGGTATCTGCTGGAAAATTATTAAAAGATCGTACAAGATTATGTACTCGATTTTAAAACTTAAAAGATCGTACAAGATTATGTACTTGATTTTAAAATTTATCATGTTGTTGCAGATGAATAATTTTTCTTTATGAATAATTTTTCTAACAATCGATTTTTTCAATATAATAATAAAATTAGGGCTTTTATGTTTAAGAAAATTAGATTGAGTTTTACATAAGCTTGAAAAATGATCTTAAAATTTAGGATCATCAACCTTTTTCTCTCTCTCAAAACTATAAATTTTACTATTATTTTAGAACATTTTTTGATGTTAAATTTCGAAGAAAACGTTTTGTAATACTTTATGTGAAACACCTTGTATAATATGAAAATTCTTACAAAGCTTGAAAACAATAGGGTGATAATTTCACACTTTCAATGTAGAACATATTTTATTTTAACGGGATTTCAAGTTATTTTAATTACTTGGAAATTGAAAATTTCGTAACAATGGATTTTTCATTGCTATCCTCTCTCTTTCTCTCTCTTTCTCTCTCTTTCTCCCGCTCTCTTTCTTTCTCATTCACTTAGTTTTCTCATGCAGTTTGCTATGGGAATTTATTAATCTTCCACTCTCGGCTCATTTCACGGCAACTTATAGCGTGATAAATTATGAAGAGCAGAAGTTAAATTTCTTGCAAAATCGTGTTGAGCACTTGGATGAAAATATAACTTTTAGATGAGTGTTATTCCTCGGTCTTATCAATCTTCTTTTTGCTTCGTTGACTTTGTCAACTATAAAATGAATGATTTATTGCACAGAGGCAATTTAGGGCCGATAGTTTTTGATGATAATTACAATTAACAGATTCCTATTATTTATTAGGTCTCTTTTAAAATCTATCTTTTATGATAATATTCTCAAAATTGATTTGGTGTATGATTTATTTATGCTTTACCGTCTGCTGCTTTACCTAGAATATAACTGCTAATAATGGAATTATCCGTTCTGCTTTATAATATTCTAAGGAGGTCGTTCTAATTATGTAAAGATTAGAATACACCTATAGTAAAACCGGTGGGTATTTTTGTTCTTTTGGTGATGTAATTAATTATTTCTAAATTTTCCTAAATATTCTATTCTCTTTTTTTACAATAAAATTATCTATTGTAATTATGTATTGTACAATAAAATTATCTAATTGTAAATCTTTAATTACACTTAATGATCATGTATCATATTCTCAATAATCTCAAATTTGCGTATTCATCAATATTCAATTGTACGTCAAATCCTTTTTCATCGTTAAAGAATTATATTCTATTAATACGTCGGCAAATATCGATGTAATCATTCGATTACAAAATGTATCTTGGTATTCGGGATAAGTGCATTTAATTTCGCAAACATGAACATTTTACATGTGGTTGAGTGCTTCTTTATCAAAAAATGAATGCTCAAAGATCCTTTTAAGGACATTTTTGTCGCGATTTACGCGGTAAAAATTGACGTTACTTGGTCGCTCTCCGATTTAATGAGTTCGGAGTTAATAATTCACGTCCTTCTACTCCGACCTTCCTTAGTTAAGCGTTCGCTATTTACCGTCTTCGTCATTTCTTCTCCTTGGCTTTCGTATCCTGAAATTGGTCTTGCGTATACAACTTAGTCTAAACGATTGATGTCGCAAACCAAGAGAGATCAAATACGTTGTAAGATATTTCGCAGCTGATAGCATAGGTTTCTCGCAACCCGAGTTCAAATCAAGCGAGCGATCAGGAACCATCACGAATAAACTTCGAATAAAATGATTCACGATCATTTTAATTTAATCTTCATTGCGGGAACAATCTTTTCCGAGTCTGTATCACGGATTTCCTAATTCGATTACGTTTTGTTATCGTCATTTTTGTCATCAATCAAGCATCGATCATCCTACGATAACCATTGCCCGCGCTAAAATTTGCGGCAATCGATTTAAAGGTATTCGTGTCACGAGAAATCACGATATAAATTCGTGCAAGTTTTTGCCACGATAATTGTATCTCGCATTAACAATCAAATCTACGATAAGATCAATCAAGTCCAGAGATCGATGAGAATCGATGAGAGCGGATTTTGCAAGGGACAGCGAATCGGAGATAAAGCATTAGAATCCAGATAGATGTGCGCGATTGCACGAGATGAAGGTGGGATACATTAGAATCCAGATGTGCGAATCGGATCCTGCTGACGTCGATCATTCGACGGCTATTCGTTATGGATTTTTTGTAAGACGATCGCGCGTCTTCGATCGCGTGAATCGATCGATTATCTCGAAGCGGCGCGAAGCCCCTTGCTAGGAGCATCTTGATTATCATTCGCAAACATCGCGCTGTGCTACCAGTACCGGTGACATAACGACACAGTGAAAACGAACTACTGCTTTAAGATGGGACGATAGCCTTGTGTACGTCCTACGATGGGCTTATATCGATCTACGAATGGTTGACGACCGCTAATGCGACCTTGAAGCGTAAACAACGCTCGTTATAGGACCTGTTTGTCGGACGGTGGCGCCAGAGTGGAGCGTTTCTGTCCAGCCGGGTACCTGCCAGCCGTGTAAAGGGTTTGTTGACATGGATGATTAATCACTTATATGAATCTATGTACCGCCAGCACCGGAAGTAAGAGGATGGACAAGATTGGTGAACCACGCAGCACGCCAGCACCCGCTAAAACGCTCGACGCCATTGTGCCTTTGCACGCCTCGGGCGTAGGGTCTGAAAAAAGAATAAAATAACGAAATGAGTGAAGATAAGAAATGTGTTTATAAATTGCGAATATGAAGGCTAAAAAAGAAAGGTTTCCTGTTTTATGATTTTTATTTACAAGACGAGTTTAAAGACTCTCTTTCGATAAAAATTCGAATCTTGCTTAAATCATTCTTGAATAATATTTTGTGCTATTGCATTATCAAGAAGACACATACACACACACACACACACACACATGAAAAATATTTACCTTGAAATATTGTTATAACGTTTAATATAAACGTATAAACAATATTTTTTATAAAATTTAATCTCGACTCATTTTAAGTGGATTAATAACATATGTTGTTTAAAGAAATAATATATAATATATTATAACATAATATATTATAATAATTATACATACATAATATATTATAATAATTATAGTAAATATTCATATAAAAAATTTTCTTTACCGCAAAAATAAAATTTATTTGAATACTTTTATTACACAATTTCTTCGCATGCGCGCGACAAATTATTTTATAAATCATTTTCCCAAATAAAAAAATGTTTTATTTTTATATCTATTAATTAATAATAATAAAAAAATAATAAATAAAATTGAAAATGAATGTATTATATATGTATAATTCTATACTAATAATTTATGTTGATTTGTGATTTGAAATATTAGGGTAAATATGTAATGCGTGATATGAAAGTTTTGTTATTACAAAGTCAATAATAATTTGTAGCACGCATCGCGAATTTCGCGTAATATGATTAAGTCAAGTTAATATATTTTCTGCAAGTACAATCATTATGGTGCGAGCGGAAGTTTTCAATTATGTATGATTTTCCGTTATCACGCGTTGCAACATTCAACGGAAAACTATTGGAAATGAATACGTGTGCAATCGCTTGCTTCGTTTCGCAAACAATCGCTGCTGTTTAATCCGATATATTCCGGATACATAAACAGAAACATCAAAATTATTTGCAATAACAACTGGCCAGAGCTGCGACTATTGGATTCGTCCCGATACACAAAATCTCTCTCTCTCTCTCTCTCTCTCTCTCTCTCTCTCTCTCTCTAACACAATGTCAATTGCTGATACAATGAAATAGCCAACACATTGAAGAGCAGATAACCATCGATCGAAGAATAATTGAATTATTTATCACGCTAAAATTAAGAACGAAGCCAGGACTCGATGAAACATTTTATAATTATCTCTAATCATAATTACATATTTTTTCATAAAAATGTCTCTGAGCGATTTCACGTACTATTGCGCGGAAATTCAAAATATATATTTATTGACGATGAAAGAGAGGGGGAATTTGAATGTAACTGATAGTACCATATTTCGTCATACATATTGCTAACGTGAAATATTTACGTGACTAATATAGCATCGGGATATTTGAGTGTGGCAATTTTGCGAATTTGCTTTGATCTTGTTTTCGCTAAAATGTTAATACAGTCATTTCCCTATCGAATTTATAATATTATAATAATTATAATTATAATATAATGTGTATAACATAATATAATATAATATAATATAATATTATTGTTATCTACTATTATATCTTTATTACTTAACAAATGTGACCATATTTAATTATTATCATATTGTGTGTATACCTTTTTTTTTATAAAATAAAATATTTGAAGAAACTCTACTTCAGTTGAAATAAAATAAATTTCTCCGGCAGTAAAGTGTTTTTGCAACTTTGATGTGAATTAAATATATATTATTGATGTCATTTTTTATTTTTATCTGAAAAAGAAGCTATACAGGGTATACGATTTTAAAGTTTCCACTACAATATCTCTTTAGGAAGGCACTTGAGAAAAAAATGTTTTGACAAAAGTTGAAATCATATATATATATATATATATATATATATATATTTGATTTACAAAAACACATTATGATGGATTAATAATTCCTTTCCAAGGATTATTCTTTCAAAGATCTTAGATATTTCTTTGAATGAGGAATCATATAATAGATTTTTCACGTTAATCAATTTTTTTCGGTATTAAAAATGTGTTAATTTTAATTTAGATATTAGGTCGCAATGAAAGAGAAAGGTTTAAAGAGATTTTTTTACAGAATTAATCTCTTTAATTTATCCTAAGTTTGATGAGAAAATAAAATTTAATTCTCTTCATTTTATGACAAATCACAAAAGTTTGAAGATGATTGCGTAAGACGTTATAAATTATAGCCATATTTATATAATATTACAAAAATGTATTCATGGAGCGAAAAGAATTGAAAGATTGTGCGATTAGTGTGTTTCGTTGATGAAAACCAAGTTCCATATTTTCATAATGGCTATATCTGTCAAGGACTATTGCGATTTAAGGCAACCTATAGAAATGTTGGAGTAGTTCCATGTGCACGATTACTCGTTAAGATCAATGAGTCGAGAGCTAATTCTCTCGCTTATACATACCGGGGATCCCCCTCAATCGTGGCAGAAAATCGTTCCAGAATGCACAGGCTGTCGTGCGTGGACCTTGACCAAAGTCCTTCTTCTCCGCGTCCAAAATAAAGTATCGCGGTTGGTCCCTGGTGTAAGGCGGCCAATCGGATTCATCCGGTGTCGGCATCCTGAAAAATAATTCAAGAGGTAAGGATGGTTGAACGTCACTCGCAAATCGTCGAATGTCCCGAGAACGAGCGGCAGCTATCGTAAAAGGGCGGAGGTGGTAGAGGCAACGCGAAACGAGTGATGTAAAATCAGGAGAAACGAGAGTGGAAGGCGAGTCGGATGGAGAAGCGTTCGACTTCAAACGGAATGGAATCTGTCTCCGATGGAGAAAGAGCACGGTTTGCCCGAGATCTCCCTCGCGTAAATACATACATTCATCGCGAGGTAAATAGAAAAAGCACGTTTGCTATCTCCAACAATATATATTTGCAAAAGATTGCGTTATTATTTTATATATAGGCTAAAACAGTGTAATAATGTTCCACACATTTCCTTAAATCACTATAAAATACACTTATGATGAGCAGATTTTATTTGTGAAATTTACAAAGATTTACTAATATTATAATTAATAATTGCACCAATTTTTGATTGATTAAAGTATTTTAATTATGAGATTTCAATTTTTTAAAAATGCTAAAAGGTATGTTTTCTCCGAAACTTCAGTGAAAAACGTCTCAGATCAACAAAAATAATTTCTATTTTAATTATAAAATTCGGCGAAACATAGAAATTCATATTTTAACTCAATAAAAGTATTGATTGAATATTTGTAAGAATTACATCTTTCTCTATTTCTTCCAAAAAAAAAAACATCGATACCCATTCGTAATGCTTTGCCATTGCTTCTAGCAATATCTCTCGCTCCATTCCACTTTTATAGCTTTTTTTTATACGTTTTGATCATAATCTATCAGAAAAAAATGATAAAAATGTTATAATAGAGCTAGAGTATTCTTGTATTTTAAAAAATATTACGTTCTCATATATATATATATATATATATATAAATAGAAAAAAGTATGTAAATATTACAGAACATATGTAAATATTATGATTGAATTACTTTTATGGAATGAAAAATATTTGCCAACAAATTTTATAATTTATTTTCTTGACATTATTTGATTTTGTAATTGTTTTTAATTTACAATCGCATTTGGAGCAGTTCTATGCGATTCCTCGGTTAATTATATACTATTATCGATCGTTTTGTTTCAATAATACCTATTGGTAAGCTGATTAAATCAGAGCAATGAATAGACCATTTTCCTGCCGGGACGGTATATTATATTGTTTTATCTTATATAATCTAACCAAGTTTTCCTTACAGTAATGTTTTTTAAAAAGTATTTCACAGAAAATTGGGATATATCCTGAGAATGTGCTTTAAGTGAACTTTTCATAAAGTTTTATAAAGTTTTGTAGAGAAATAAATAAATTTTCTCTAATTATGTTTCCATTTAAAGGTAAAAATATGCAAAAATAATTCTTTGAAAATATTTATCAAATATAATTGCAGATTATTATAACATATTTAAAAACGAATATGTAATTTTTATTTCCTATTATTCTTTTTTTTCTAGTTTTTCATTTACATCGATCGATTTATGTCGATTTAAAAAATTTTAAATTTTAAGAATGTCATAATATTTTAAGAGATGTCATAATAACTTTAAATCTTCATAAACTCATCTTACGATAAAATAGGAAACTGCTCTTGTTTTATTCAAAATTAATAAATAAAAGTATGCTTTATATGCATAAAAATTGGAGCAATCTCATATTATTACAACGCAAAAGAATAAAACTTCATTAAAATTTATAATTAAATTTAATCGATTTATTGCGGTTTTAATATCTTATTAAAAGAGAAAAGTAGCCAAGTGTGCAATTTAATGCGAAATATTTTACGATAAATTTAATTAAATACATAACATAAAATTTTATATCAAATAGAAGAAATATTAAATAAAATAAATTTTTTATAGATAAATAATTTTTTTTATAGATAAATAATTTTCATATTTAATTTTGCACATATAATCAAAAGAAAAAATTAAATATTCGATGAATTTATGATCTCTTTAATTGAGAAGCATAATAAGTTTTTTAAATAATAAAAAGAATTTAGTATAAAATCGTAGTATTTTTAAAAATTATTAAATTAAAATTAATCATCTCTTGTAATTTTCAATTGATTTTTTTTCGATAATTGTCACTATAACTGAATATAATCAACATTTTTCATATTTCATATTTCAGTTAAAATATGTATATATGTTTGTCTCGAAAATTATTATTAAAATCTAAAATGCAACCAAAAAAATTTTGTAAAATTAAGAATTGAAAAAATAAAAGTTTTATAATAATCCAATAATATGTAAACATTTATGTGAAATTTTTTAAGTTCCTTTTTCTACGATTCATTGTTTCAAAGAAAATTTTTATGTGTGATATTAACATTTCCATACTAGCACATGAAAGTTTCGAATGCGAATATCAACGAATTTTTAGTGTGAAAAAAATTATTCTTCCTCTCTCTCTGAGCTATAATTTAAATTTAAATTAACTTTGTTTCACATATTAGCGAATTTATTCGCACACACGTATTGGTGCGCAGTCATATGATATATTACTTACATTTACATATTATTATACGTTTAACATATCAACGCAATTACCAAGTATTTTGTTAATTTAGTTAAATGTCTAACTTTTATTTCACGCACACGTATTCGCATAAAATTCATTAAATAAATATGCATACGCCATAAAATATTGATTTTTAATAAATAATATGATTTGTCACAGTTGTACAATTTTTCATTAAATTTTAAATATTGATTTTTATAAATAATATGATCTATCACAATTATATCATTTTTTATGCAATTTTAAATTATGCATAATATTTAATATATAATAGTTTTTTTTATATATAATTTATATTTAACACAATAATTTTGGAGATTATATGTAGATATATAATCATTTTTAGACCGCAACTGAAAATGTCTAAATTAATCTATTTACTCTTGTATATATGTGTAAAGTTTCATTAAAATCAGAATTTTCAGCTTCCCAAGATTCCTTTATTAGTAAGAATTATATGATAGAGAATTTTAAAATTAATATTTCCAAACAACAGTACCTGAACTATGTTTTTTAGCAAATTTTAAAGACTTGACAATTGAAGATTGACAACTTTTTATAATATTTATTATAACATTTTTTTCAAGTTGAACAATTTTTGTGCTCTGTTTTTTCGTAAAAGAGTAAAAATAGATAAAAAATATGTACATTTGTCAAAACGGTCAATAATTTTTATAATAGATAATTATTGCATTTGTGTATATGATTTGTGACCTATAAAAACTAGAAGCCAATGGAACGACATAGACATCGTCCTTGATAAAATTGATCCCAGTGTCCTCTCCATATGTCTTTCGTAAAGTGTAGTCGTGACTGTTAGAAACATTGCCAACCTTTGCATTAAACTTTATCGAATGTCTATAAAATCAGTATTCTCAGATCTCAAACGTATGTCATAGATTGTGAAAGTTATATCTGACTTTGCAGATATGCAAACGTACAATGTCAGAAGATTCTTCAGTTTTTTGTTGTTTTCATAATAATAAATAAAATTCTGATATTTTTAGTAATCTAAAACTATATTAAAATTATACTAAAATGATTAAAATAGAATATTATACTTGCTAAATAATTTATAATTATATACATTTTAATGTGACAATTACGATTTTACATATTCTATATGAAGCTACATTTTCTTTTTTTACATAAAGTTAATCAATTTCGTTTAACACTGATTATCACACACAATAACAAAATAAATTAATTTCTACGTTACTTCGAAAAATTAATTCTTTTTATGTTAATGCAAAGATTCGTATGAATTAAAGTTACAAGTAAATAAATATAGTTTCTCATAACAATTATTATACATTTAAATAATTATTATTTTGATTTTTAAATATTTTTCATCCAAAACAAAATTTTTCGAAACAGATTTTATTTTCCGCTGTGACAATATCTTATAACGATTATTATTGAAAATCTCACTTTATTGCATATTTTGAAATTTATCATAAAACATATACTTCACAAAATAATAAAATAGATAAAAAAATAACTGAATATATATTTAATTAAATAGATTATATCTATTATATTTATATCACTCAATAGATGGAATTACAGAACTTATAGTAATGTTGTCATATACTTACCCTGTGTATGCGAAATGCGAGTAATAGCGAATTATTCTGGTAGCCAATTCTCGCTCTTTGGCATTATATACCAGAGTTTCGTTGAGCGGATGCCCGAAGACATATTCCACTTCGTCACCATGCATCACACCCATCCATTCCCCCCACACATTAGTACTCGTTCTCTGTAACATACATATTTCTATCATTAATTCCTTGATTGTCGTATTGCTCCAAAAATAATATTTTTTTATTTAACTTTTCAAATTAAGGATAAAATATGTCACACTATTTTGCATTTAATTTTACAGATATATGTATTCTATATATAGAATTATGTCGCTGTACGTATTTTCAAATTTTAATTCATAGGTACATGGTTTTAATTTTAACTTGTCACTACAACATTTGTCAGTAAGAATAAATGTTTTTAAAAGAGACAAATTTAATATTTAATTAATATAAATAAAATATAATTAATAACCTAACTTATAAAATATTCCTGAACCTTAAGTAATGTTATTTTTAACCGAGAATATGTGAACACATGTCAGAGGGTTAAAAATATTCTTGCCTTGAAATGTACCTTGAAATGTATCTAGAGATGGAATAGTATTAAATAATAGATGATGCAGACTATAAGAGCTGAAAATTACCCCATATTATATATATTCTACGTTTCTATCAGATTCTCAGAGAGATAATGTTACATAATGCTATTCAAATAATTACTATATTTGTAGATTATTGAAGATAATGAAGTATGTGTAATATTAGCTTTATTAAAAAAAAACTGAGACATTTTCAACTTTTTGTTACAAAATGAGAAGCAAGAAAAAATATTTTCCTCGAAATGTTTGTTTAATTAATTAATTTAAACAAAAATTAATTTAATTTAATATAATATAAACTAATTTAAACCAAAATTTTAACCAAAATTTTAACCATTTTTTTATTTATTTCTAAATTAAATATTTCGTTGAATTAAATGTTTGTAGCAAGGGCATTTTATATACATTTGTATAAATGTATGTGTATAATCATAAAGTAGAGAATATCGAATAGAAAATCGATATTAATTTTTATAAGAATAATTTATTAATAAAAAATTAATCAATTATTCTTATAAAATAATTCTTATATAATTATTAATTTTTTATAAGAATAATTACACGTACTTTCCTGACTTCTACTATGATATTTAAATAGAAAATACCAAGGTTCCAAAACAGTATTATTACAATGGAAAAGTCAAGCTCCGAAGCATTTGGGATTGCCATGACCTGATCGGCACGTGATTGGGACATGTGATTGAATATCGATCTCTCTGTGACAAGTCGCAAGGACGGAAACGGCCAGCGTGGACGAGAAAAAAAGGGGCAGCGAGCGCGAGAAAGCTTCGTCTAACCAGCGGGTAAAGCCGTTATTAAGATTACGGCTGGCGCGCATGAGTAATGACATCCTCTTTACTTTCAGGAGAACCGAGCTACCCGTCTGATAAATTACCTTCTCCGCTAATTGCTCGAACCTCCTCGTGCCTCGACATTTCGCTTTACGCACGTCTCATGGCAGTCCAGGAGCTGCGGTGAAGACAGAGAGAATAGAAGTGAGAGAAAGGAAGGAAGGGAATAAAAGGGGAAAAGAGGGAGCTACACAAATTGAAAAGCGCGACTGGGGGAGGGCGGGGGAATAGAGTGGTGAAAAATAGGGAACGTACCAAGTAAATGAGCGGGAAACTGGGGGTGGAGGAAAAAGGAGCAGCGTCAAATGTAGATAGGGAAAGAGTGACATGATCAACAACGTGGATTGAATAAAAGCGCTATTTTTCACGGTAACTCTTCTCTCTCGGTTCATGAGTTTGATACGTTGTGGATAATATACGATAAAGAAGATGCGTACGAAATTGTTATACAATTTGATACGACTTTTGAATAGATTTTATGAAGGATCATTCGGGTAAAAGAAATCTTTCGCTGATTCACCAGCTGAATAATTGATTTTCTTCTCATCATTTGCATCACTATATTTATTATTATTTTTATATATTATTATATTATTATTATATTATTTTTATATATTATTATATTATCATTATATTATTATATTATTATATTATTATATTTATTATTATTATATTATTATTTTATATTTATTTTTTTTTTGGGAATTTACTGCAAAACTCTCTATTCATTAAACTCATCATTTACATTATTATTCAATAATGCGTTTTATTATTGATAAGAATTAAAAATTTTGAAATGTGATTTTCACGATAAGTTAGATTAGGTTGACCTGCCACGTACATTCAATATTTGTGATATGTTAAAAATAACGTAGCGACCGCAACTGAAAATATAACGTGACAATCTAGACAATATTGAAATTGACGATGGAAGAGAAAACCAAAGTTTTCTTCGTTGAAACTGGGATTCCCATTTGTAATTTCAACTCTACTCTCTCTCTTTTGAATATTATTATTGCGTTTCTGCGAATTCTCTCTTCGTATCTGAAGTTCAAAGAACTTCATCCATGGATAAAATTACGCAAAATAATACATTATACGTCGCAAGATATGCTACGCCATTAAAAGTACTTTCCCCATATTTCTGAGTTCTATCTCTGGCGAATCTGCGGCGGAGTAAAAATTAATTGCTAATTATAGCAATCTCTTCTCGCGTCGTAATTGTCCTTTTTTCATTAAATCACTCTATATTAAATTCATTTCTTCACGCAAGCTTTTCTGATAACATAGTCTCTTCGATAAATCTTCCGAAAAGATTATACCTTACCGATCACTTTGATCTTCGCATATATTATTGCGGAAAGTTCCGAATCATTTTGAATCACGTTGCGAACTCTTCTGATTTCCCAAATATATCATTTCAAAATTTTCTACTTTTCATAAATTTAAGAAACAAATCTGTAATATTTGTAAATAGTTCGATTACACTGATATATAGAAAAATTAAGATCGTCTCTTTTCTTTATAAAATTAATCAATTTTTAATAAAAATAAAGTGAGAAAAAACAAGTAAATTTCTAACTTATACAAAAAATTGTGTATTTTATTATTTTATTCTATTGCCAAGAGCATATGCGTGATGGGATCAACTTCTTCGTCCTACATCTCCATCCCAGAAAAATTTAAACTTGACCCATCTAAAATTCTAACCAAGCCTTAACAATTTTTACTTAGAAAACAAACTAGTTTGAATAGGTTAATATTTTTTTGAAGGAAAGGATGCACAGAAAAAAAGAAGTGTCAAATCAAAATTTATACTTAAACTAACGCGTTCATTGTTTCGTATATACGCAACAATTTCTAATCTTCTTAGAAGAATTTAATAATTTTAAATTTCAACAATATTATCGTCTTTCTTTAATATTGTAACTGTCACCTCAAGAATATATAATTATTTAATTCTACTTTAAGAAAATTATAATCTTTGATTTAAAAATGTTATTTTCTTCAACATTGTTTCTTTTCCATTCAAGAAAATTAAATCTTAAATCATGAGAATATATTTTTCTCGATTGAACTATATAAAATGACTTTATTCAAGTAAACAATTATTCAAGCAATTATATTTTTCTTAAATTAACGCGATATAATCATTTCAAGATTTCCATGTTAAAACTAAACATATTTTTAAAATAAGAATGTCTTTTTTATCTGTGTGTTTTGCAGGAGAAGGGCAAAATTTTGACCGCCATAATATTTAATATAAATGAAGATCAAAATGACGAATCTCTTTGAAAAATTTAAGAACGTTTAATCTGTGGAATGTTAGGAATTATTAATCAATAATGTTACGCGTAAGCCATTACATACGCCATATTGTCGGGAAAAAAAACGATATAACATTATACAGATTCGTGGGCGGTATATCTATTTTTTTATTTATTTCCTTGACTTGAAATACATTTTGCACAAACTTTTTACTTTTTTGACGCAAAAGCTACCATCGAAATGCCCCAGAGAGCGAAAAATACGACGAGTACGCGAGAGAGGGATACTTCGAGATCATGTTATCGCATTAAATTGAATCACACATCGCGATTGCCAGAATACGGAAGTGAGGAAAGTCCGAGTTGCAAAAACGATATAAACGTGCTGACAGAATATTTATTTATTATCGATGTCCGATCAAATGTTTCCCTCGCAATACACGTCCTGCCCCTTCTATCGCATTTTCATTTCCACTTCAAGACATTATTATTTCATGTGCAGATTTTTTCATCAATACTATGTGGAATTTATTTCTTCTCATAAAATGGATTATCCAGGGAGAAGTGAATTGCTCTGACCTATCCTTTTGCACGAAAAAACTTTGAACGAAAAACATTCAATATGAAATATCTGTAAATCTCATATTGCACTAAAAAATTATGTTATATTTGAATAAAAATTCAAATGACTGCTTTCCTTGTTTTATTTTAGAGAAATAAAGCAAGGAAAGCAGTCATTTGAATTAATTTATGCAATGCTTAAAATGCGTTTGTATTAATTTATGCAATGCGATAAAAAGAAAAATCTTATTACTATTATTAATATATTAATCTTATTAATTTTTACAAGAATGCATTATTATTTGATCAACAATTTTTTTATAAACAATCACAGATATTTTTCAATGCATGTAATACTTTCTTTAGATCAATAATGTGGACAAAAAACTGAACAACGTTAAATGAAGCAAAAGAAGAAATTATTATTACTTTTATCATTATAATCTCTCATGTCTCTTAAATAGCACCTGCATTATCCCATTCCATTCTTTCTCAACCGTCTCTCTTGTTTTCCTTCTCTGTTTTTCTCTCTCTTCCTTTTCCTCTTTTCTCTATTTCTTTCCCACAATGACTTCCAGCATTCTCACGCGAAGACGTCAACCGCAGAAATGAATCGTCGGGTTTAAATAATTTTCAATGAACGTTCACGACATTCAAACATATCACAAACTTTGCATTTATCAAACGCGGAATAAAGAAGCCGTTATGCAATTTGAACATTTATTATATCAATTTATGTATTTATGACAAGAATAATATCTTGAATGATCATAAAATTGTGACTATAAATTTAATTAATTTAGCAAGATTGAAAAAATGTATTATCCACACTTATATTTCATGTAAGAAGGGAAAATTAAACCAGTATAGTATTTATATAGTAACAATTTATAATAAATTAATCAAATTTTTTCAAGTATAAACTAATATAATAAATTAATAAATATAAACTAATCAATGATTTTAAGTGATTTTCATAATTTTCTACTCTCTTGAATTTTTTTTGCTAATAATATTAAATGAAAATCAAAATTTATAACATTATTATAAGTTATATCTTGGGCACTAAGTGTTTCTATTGATATGTTATATTGTGTGAAATATGATTATATTAATGCAGGATTTCTAGAGAGTGTACTTAAATATTTTAAAAAATATTATATGTGTGTAATGCATAGATTATTAAATTTTGCTGTTTGTTTAAAATCTATTGATTGGCAAACTTTGAAATTCTAGGAATCCACTAACTTCGTAACTATAAATACGAGAAAGTAAAAAAAGAAGTTCAAATTTTATAATTTATTTCAATTCAAAAGTTCACGTATTAAGACATATGGAGTCACTTTTCAAGTTGAACATTCTATACTATCGGCTTTCGCGAAGAATTCAATAACCCTACACGTATAACTTAAATTGAGATATCTGAGAGACAGAGCGATAGAGAGGGAAGGAAGGTCGAATTTCCTTGTGATTTCGGTTAAGCTAGATTTGGCACGTGGCCACAGATTGCTTCTTATTCGAATCAGTGATAAATCGTGCGTCGATTTCGTCGATTTCAAAAATGCTTCATTATATCGTTATATCGATGAACCTGATATCAATGAAATTCTATATCAAGAAGAAAATAAAAACAGATTTGATGAAAAATATCAATAAAATGATGATAAAGTTGTTAATAAATCCACTGATTTTTTTTTCAGTGGCTGAAAATTAAATCATCCTATCAAATTAATCTTTATATAAATAAGTAAATAAAATCTCCTTCATTTTTAAAATAGGTTACGTTAATAAATTTTATTATATATTTTATTATATTATTATATATCAAGATATTTGATATTTTTGATAATACTACATAAATACTATTTATTTAAATTTTTCTTTTAAAAAAATGTTATTTATGTATTTAAAAAAAAATCTTTAGTGTGCCAGACAAATTTTGTATATTTTATGTTACATAATAGCTAAAAATGAAATAAATATATAAGTGGCATAGTAGATATAATAAACCTATTAATATCACAAAAATTATGTTTAATCGAATATTCGTGTGAGCGAGCTATCTCGAAATAATTAAATACAATTTTCTAAAATAAAAATGAAAAAAATAGGCTCAAAATAATAACAATTCCCGGAATATATTAAAAAAGCTTCTTTTAATATATAAAAAATATATAATAAATATATAAAAAAAGATAATATATAAATATACATAATAAATAAAATAATAAATATATAATATATAAAAAATATATAATAAATATATAAAAAAAAGAAAAAAAGCTTCTTTTCTTACGCTCTAATTAATTCTTACCTCGGCTTTTATTCGCCAATTCTGTCATTTGGTAACAATTTTCTCAGCTATACTGCAATTTGAATGTATAAGAATCAACAAGTTTTCAACGATGGTGATTTCGCGAGGAAGATAAGCACGATAAAGAGCCGAGTACGATGACAATACGAGCAATATGGCAAACGCGACATCATATATCGTTCGTGTCTATAAATACTCCCTCTCGCATGAGTTTGCATTTATGTATATAATTTCGGGATGGTCACGAGAGAGGAGAGGAGAGGAGAGGGTCGATAATTATATAGTGTCGAATGAATGTGCACAATTTGCCGTGTTCTAGATCTAAACATTATACACTCCGATGACATTGCGGGAACGCATTGTCTTCCGCTGTGATTACACTCGGCAAAATCGCGATGCCGGCAAAATAAATCACGCGAATACGCGTGATTGATAATGGAAAGCGTAGAGAGACATTTCCCTATTATTCGCTATCCAAATATTCTCACTACGACGTGAATGAATGATTGTGATTGACGTCACGAATGAGTGTCGTGCTTGTCATGTTAGCCAAAGAAGATATTAATGGCATAATTGCGTTAGGATAATTGTTTTCACCTTGCATCATTAGATCCATCTCACTCGATGTTCGACTAATCCTCCAACGTGTTTACTTCTTTTTTTTTTCATCTTTTCGTTCTGTTCCCTCTCTCGGCTATTTCCATCGTGAAATCTTCTTGTTGCGTTATGCAAGCGGCTCAGAATCCAATTTACATAATACTTTTGCGGTAATTTCCTAGTCTTGTAAACTCTGTTCTGTCGGACCACTTTGGGAGAATGGGCGACAAAAGCTCAGTACCAACAATCACGCTGTGCTGAGTGTACGTGACTTAAAGATAATATTGTTGGAGACGATGAGGGATATACACGTATACGAAAAATTACCGGTATACACGTAATAATTAAAGTTTTTTAATTTTTCATATCATTTAATATAAATGTAACTATAAATTAATTAATTAATTAAACAAAAAAAATATATATATATAACGTATTATATTATTATAAATTATATATTATAAATATTTTATTAAGCATTTTAAATGTACCTGACGATAAAATCTGAAAATTAATATTTTATATATACCTTTATGTCACATGATATAAAGTAAATTATTATGGTAAAGATAAACGAGCAGTTATTTTTAAAAGTGAATTAAATAAATTTAAATTTATCATATTCGTTTGTTTATCCTTTTGTGGCATTCACATTCACTCGCGAAAACATAGTTAATGGTTGCATTCAGCGGGAAAAGCTGCTTTGCAACTGTTGTAAAATTCGTGAATCTGATTGGTGTATGCTCTTAGATTCAGTCAAAATTAAGAGCATATACCAATCAAGCTTACGAATTTTACAACAGTTGCAAAGCAACTTTTTCTACTGAACGCAGCCAATTATAATCGCATTAATCGATAGAATACGATAATCACGACATTGTGCGCAACGTTTTAATTACACACGATACGCACTTTATTTCGGGGGAACAATTCGAAAGCTTTACTATCATCAAAATTACTATCATCAAAATTACTATCATTTTATACTTATACATTACGTTTAATTATTAAAACTACAATCATTAATTATATAATGTTGAGCGAATTATATAATTCGCTTTTTAATTTTTATTTTTATTTTTTTAATTACTAACAGTACAATTATTAAAAATACAAGTAATTTTTATTTTTTTTTAATTACTAAAAGTACAAGCATTAATTATATAATGTTAAGCGAATTATATAATTAATATAATTATATAATTATATAATTATATAATTGGTATAATTTAGTAATTTTGCTCTAATATTGTACAACACGACTCGAGTTAATTATTAATTAAAATGGGTTAGATTCCGTACAATCAAAACTTGACATACTATTGAATAATACTAATGAATTAGACGAAGATACCGAGAGATATAAAGTAGGAAAAATAATTAATAATGCGTTGATTATTCCTATACAATTTCCAAAAAAATCAATATTAAAATTATTATTTAAAAATTACTATTAGTTATACTTTCACATTTTAAAGTAAAAATTAAAAAAAAGGTAAAAAAATGAAAATTTTTACTTCAAAAATCTAATTGAAGTAATTTATAAAAAAATTGTACCAAGAAATTCATACACGTAGATATAAAATATTATTATCACAGAAAATAGAAATAAACATTAGATAAGGAAATATTTAGTTTTACGATAGTTATAAATGGTTGGAAAAATGGGAATCCGCAAATATATTCAAATGCATGCACACAGAGTGTCTCATAAATTATGTACTAGCCACTATGAATGAGAGGTTCGATAGATTAAAGTGCAAAATATTTTTCTTACTTCATAAATTATGAAGATAAATTGTCACCTTAGTCTGAAATATTATAGCGCGCGTATAATGACAACTTATCAACTAGTGACTGTCATTTGACGTCCTCAATGACTGATGCCTATCCTATAAAATGTTGACAGCAGAAATCGCTTACCTGCGTGAAGAAGTAATAGTAGACCTTCATGCCACGATCCGCGAACAATTGCGCAAAATGCGTGGATGGGCAGATGAAATAATAATCGCCCACGACGTCCGCTACCGCCTTTTGATTATTGTAGCCATCGTTTATCCGATCCCAATCGGTATACTGAAACAAACGTCCGGACGAATCCTTGTTAAAGATTGTTAATTAGCGTCCAAAAATATTATTTTACGCGACATATCTAAATTCGGCTCGTTTTCTTATACTTTATTTCTCTCGAGAAAGAGTCTTACATCATTTCACCCAAATTTTTTTTCGATAAAGTTGCAATAAACCAATTGCACAAAAAATTTTCTAAAAAGACTACAAGAATAACAGATTTTTTTTTCTTTTGATATTCATATAAAATATGACATTATACGTATAATAAAATTTGCTAAATCTTGATATAACTTAACATCCCAGGGATCATTCTTCTTTTAACATATATATTCCTCCATATATATTCCTCCATATATATTCCTAATATATGCTCGAAATTATATGACACTTTTTCTTTTCGTTCCTAAGATATGCGACTTTGAAAAATAAGATTTTTTTAAATGGAAAATTTAGTCTCAAAGATTCTAATCTTGATACATTCGCAAGATCATCAAATTTATTTTGTGCTCAAAATTGTTATGAAAAGGAAATTACATTCTCTCTCCTTCTTCTCTAGTAGTCAAAGTAAAATTATATAAAATACAATTTGAATTTTTTGCACGAAAGGAAATTTAAAATAAATGAATTCGATGTATCTTTTTTCTAACAATTTTGAGCGCAAGATAAATTTACGGCGTTGTGAAAGCTCGCTTCCTTAGATCCGGCCCTTGAATCTTAATCAGTAATTTCAAGGCATCATCAAGACTGCGCCCAAGCATCATTAAGGGAAAAAATTCAAATGCGCTTGGAAATTAGACATGGCTATTAGCCGTGGAAATTAAATATCTTCTTTTCTCTATGCTACGCGACTTTTAGCTTATTCTTTCTACTTTTCTCGCTGTTCATTATGTTAAAAGGAAATCATTTTTTACCCGAGTGCACGACAATGCTCTCACACATAGCTCGCGGGGGTTAAAAGATATTACCGGAGCATCGATGCTAGTTATACGTACGGGGTAACTCTGTGTCATCGATTTTCTTCCATACGAAACGGCAGGAAAAAAAATGTGCGCTTTTACAAATTGATTCCGTTCGATTACTCGCGCGTGGGCGGACGGCATCAGCGATGAATATATCAAAGACACAAGTCCTCGACGACCTTTATGCTCATCGTACACATATATCATCATAAACGAAAGGCATCCTCGTTCCCGATGCCTTGTTCCCGGATACTTAATGAAATGTACACGGAACTCGAGGTTTCACGCAGCCATGAAACGGCTCTTGACAAAGCAACTTTGACATACCGTTCTGCTGATCGGAAAGTAATTAGCGGTCGCCCAGTAGAACGGAGCTCTTTGAAGAGTGACATTACCCCAGTACATAACGATATCGATTTTCCCCGTGACCGTAACTCGGCCTCTGTTACGCACTAGAAAATCTGTCGGAAGTATCGTGAAAGAAACTTCCAGCCTTTGTGTCGTTGCAAAATCTTTGGTTGTTTCATAAAATTTTGCGCGAAGGGATGAAAATTGCGTTTCAGTTTCCCTTTGTGAAATTATTGGGCATAATTGCCTAATATAAAAGACAACTAATATCTTTCATTGTTAAATAAAACAAGCTTTAAAGTTGTGTATTTACTTTTAAACATATTTTATTTATAGACGATTTAATAATTCGATTAAAAAGATAATATTTTATTTATTCTCCTAAGCAGGCTTAAAAACTGCTTCTTGAATTTTAAATATGTTTAAAATATAAATTTTTATAAAGATTTTTAAGAGTAGAATATATATGTTAATAAGAGTAATAAGGTTAATTGAAAGTAAAAAAAAATGTGATGAAAGAAACTTGATGTTGCTACATTTATTATGGTAGCTATTATGACAGTCAAAACATTATTTTAAATTATTACAGCAGCGCCGACCTTTTTTTACATTAAATTTTTTTATTTTTGATTGACTTTATCATTTTTAATGACACACGCATACACATGCACAGCGCTTTTAGAAATTCTTTATTTAAAATATATATATGTATTAGATATTTAAAAAATCTTGAAAATTAGATCTATTATTAATTAATTAAGATTAATAATTAAGATATATATATATATATATATATTAATATAATATATATGTATTATTATCTTAATTATATATCTTAATATATATATTAATATATATATATATATATATATATATATATATATATATTAATACATATTTCAAAGTTCATAAAATCAAGAGAAGTATTATAATTTTTTCGTAATGTTTCTTTCTAGAAATTTAATTAAACTGTTACAACTGTGTTGTGTATATAAATAAATATTTATTTCAAACGTGGCATAAACTCGCTTGTCATTATTAAAAAGCACAATTGGCCACAGTTTATTATATCAACTGCCTGCGCCGCTGGCAATCTTGCATAAAAATTTTTAATTGTAATTTGTTCCGACAAGGCTTCTCTTAAGTGAAAATTTCGTGTCGTAATATCTCTGTCCATAGTACACATAATAATAAAGATATTTTCTTCACATAATTGTGACCTCCAAATTATCGATTAAGTCTAATAAAAACTCAATTAAATTATTGAGATCTGATATTTTAATTTAAGATACTCGACTGGGCTGCTCTCATATATGGTTATATATAACAATGAAAAAACAGTAAAATCTATTTTTAACAATTTTCATAAATGATCGCCTCTTTTTAATAAATTTTTGATTTAGCGCGATAAAAATATTTTCTGCTAAAACTAATAAATTTTGACAACGATTTTAAATCAAGATTTTCCTTAAGAAGACATTGAATACGTAAGAAATTTATAGATATATTTTAAGAGAAAAATGCAACGTCTTTCTAATGCATTTTTTATGTGCAACGAGAACGGAAGCATTGAACTTTATATGGCATATATATTTTACTTTCCATGCGCTGTGGGCAATCGCAACAAATGTCTTTTGTATGCAAAAATAATGCAATTAATTTACACAATACCCTTTGACAAAACAGGTTAACAAATCGCTGATTATCAATAACTTCCTGCGGAAATGCTACATGGATTTCGTTTGTTATTTTAATTTTTTCCTCTCTTCTCTTTTTTATACAATACGATTGAGTCTCTGCTCGTGGAAAACGCACGTTATAACGTACCGTGTTCCGGATAACTAAGGAGATACCGTTGGAAACTCTGCATATGGGTATTTCATAAATCACTCAAGAAACACAACTATACACCACGGTGAATTTTAGCAAAACAGATATTCCCGACAGAGATGTTCTATCATGGCGATTACATTTCCGGTTGCATGTTGACTCTACGAGAAATGTAATAAAACTTTGTGAATTGTCCATGCAAGATCATTCCATTAATATAATTGCAAATTAACAAATTCGAACTTGAAAAACAAAGATACATGATTATAACAAAGTAATGAAAATAGACGAGAGTCTCAAGTGAATAAAATAATGATAAATTAATACGCAAGTGAAAATTTACGCCTAAATGTACGTTTTGTAACAGATTCCATTTTTTGAATAACGATCGGTGCAAAAAAATATCTTTGTGCAAATATAGGTTTTTCATCGATATTTTGTTCAACTCGAAATGTGATTCACGCTTGCAATATTATTCACAGAAGGTAGAAAATAATAGCTTAATTATGCTCGTTCTATTGTTATTGAAAGCAAACGGATCGATAAATATTTCCACTCAAATCAAACAGAAATTTGGCCGATGAGGAGGAGGGCTAACTTTTTTTCTGAAGGGGAAAAAATTGTGGTTTGTTATAATCGCAATTACATGGGACCGCTGTCTCTGGTTAACGGAAAATCATCGTGTGCGGGCAAAAAAAAACACAAAAGCGCAGGAAAAGCCGCGGAAAAGGAGATGAAAGAATAGCGGGTAGGCGTTCCAATTAACGGTTTTTCACTCTACGTCCATTCGTATCCGACGCGATACACAGTGAGAAATGCACGTTTAATAATATAATCATGGCCAATCCTTTTTAGTACAACAAACTGTCGCCGGCGTCCATTTTTAAAGCGCGCACACGCAAAATTTTAATGCATAAATAAATGAGTCAACAGTAAAAATTGAAGCCGAGTAAAAACTCAAATTATTCCGATACATTATTATGTATGACATGTGACTATTATTTAAACAGAGATTTAAATATATTGTATAAATTGCTAAAACATTCGCACACCTACTATTACAATGTTATTATATTTTTACATCAATGTATGTGTGCAAATATTTAAGAGGGCATAATAATTTTATATCGCTTGCAGAGTTAGAGTGGCGCGTTATAATTTTTAGAAAAATACGTAAATTATTAATATATGATTTTAAGAGAAAAAACTTTAATCCCAGTGTCTCAAATGCATAAGTATGTTTTGCACACTTGTCTTCTTAAAATATGATAGAATTGTTTTAGTATGAATTTTCAAACTTTCATTAATTTCACAATTCATTTGTCAGTTTCTTTTATTTATGAAAATATATTTGTACGTGTATAGATAGATGTATTCACACATACACACGTATTAAATATCAAAATTTATGTAATAAATCAATTAATAATACATTTTGTAATTACTTTATATATTTAGATAAATATTATTATAAATTTAGATATTTATAAATATTAATTGAGAAATTTAGATAAATATTTATATAGTAGATAAAATTTACACATATACAATAAAATACACACATACAAAAAAATGCATAGATAGGGAGACTTACTTGGAAAATAATGGCTTCTCGCTCAATTTGCGACATATTCTTGAAGATGGTATTGATGATGTTGAGAAATTTGTCTCGATCGAGAAAGCTGGCTTGATCTTTCTCGAAGAAGTCAATAAAGTCGTACAGAATAAAGTACGTCCCTGAAACAGAAATATATATTTGTTAAACAAAAATAAATCTTACATCATAAAGAAAGATACATATTCGGAAATATTAACACGCACTTGTGCACATACACACAATTCATACTGTAACAAAGTTTCCGTGTATTTGTAACATTTTGAAGATAAAAATATAAAAATGTTTAACGGCCGTATCTTTTAGTCTTAAAAAAAGTCCGATTAATTTTTTTCAACGTATGCTTTCTATTATAAAATAGATTTTTTACACTTTTAATACGTACATTAAATTCAGAAAAAAGATATTATGCCAATGGAAATCTATTGGAAATATTAAAAGAAATGAAATATAGACAATGAAAATATATTGAATACATGACATTTTCAAAAAATATAATACACGATTACAAATACGATTAAATAATCTGAAAATTCTTTATTTAAAATATTTTTTCAATATTTCTCACAATTTCCACGATATTTGTTCAAAATTTAATACGCCGAGTTTTTAAATTCCAATTCTTAAAAATTATTTAATTTTCAAAAAAGAAGCATTTGCGAAACACACGTGTCTCGTTCTGCAATATCTAAAACTAATGAAAAAATGAAAGAGAAACACATGCTCACCCGTATCTCTAGGTGCGTGTTTAAGTGATACAGCTGGCAATTTGTTCCGGCATCGCGACTCTTATGACATAACGCAACTACTAAAAGCATTACTGGAGGAAAAGCACCACCTCGTAATTCGCAAAGAGACACGCACACATTTTTAGAATACATCGGCTTTGTTTAATGAAAAAAGTTGACCGCACCGCGCGTTATCATATGCATTCTTGCTCGTTCTCTGGCGCGCGAAACTCCGGATTTCCGCTGCTTACACATGCGCGATGCGGAAACTTCGCATGGCCCCTCTTGGCAAGTGTCGCCTCGGGCGCGCGACTGTCTTTGAAATTGCGCACAAGGGCTTCAAAGGGAACGCGCGTGGAAAAGAAAATGTAGTTTTCCGATATAAAGGATTTTCCTCTCTTTTGTTGAGTAATATGCATAACAGGCAGCCAGCACTCCCATAAACATTTCACGCGTGTTATTTTTAGTCGGTCTTTGCAAGATTCTATGTCAGAGGAACTTAATCTTTTAATTGAATAAAGAGGCTAAAAAATAGATATTTCATAAGTTAATACGTAATAAATGATAAATGATTGATTTGATTATGAATTGTTTACAGGTGCGAGGTAAAAATTAAATTTTGGGGAATGGGCAAGATTAATCTTTTCATTTTCTCCATTAATATTTAATCTAATGTTTATTATACATTGCAGTTATTTTATAAAAAATTTATATTTATATTTAATATAATATATGAAATGTGTATGTATATGTTTACATATGCATACAAAATTTATCGTTATTAAAAATTTGTTTTTACGCAATTTCTGAAATTTTATAATCATTATTTATTATATTTTATACATTTTATACATTTTATACATTTGCTTTATATTTTTCTTATAAATATGATTTACTGCATGCATGAATTAGTATATTTTATTTATCATCACCGCGTATAATATTTATGTTTAAATTAGATCGTCAATAAAAATCTAATAGAATTATAAAAAGATGATTGTTTCTTCACTTATAACTTATGCAATATAATTAATTTAATTATAAAATATAAACAAGACTATCGTATAATGAAACAAATTTTATTTTCGTTATTTCATGTCAAAGAGCACGTGAAGGAAGATGAGGAAAAAATAAAAACTAATTTCATTAACAAAGTAAACTTTACGTAATTACATTATTGACATGAAAACTGCCATCAGTGTTTGTCAACAATATTTATAACAATTTTAAAATGTATATTACTATGGCGTGGAAACAAACAATATAAATGTATTATTTTTTAATAAATTTACAATATTACAGATTTCTTTTTTTATACATGTATCTCTATCTAATATTTCTCTCAATTAGGTGTGAACTTTTCTATCTAATCAAACTTTTGTCTACAATTATGTTGAAATTTAGATGCAAATAATTTCGTTTAGCTCCAATTATCACTATTAGCACAATTTTCGTGGACACAATCACTTTTAAAATATTATCTTTGCATATCAAAAGTTTCCTTTACGAGCGAAAGATAAATGGCTTTAATTAAAAGGTAAAAGGACCACGTGTTCTACTTTATGCGCATGGTAAACTTTAAGATTAGAAGATGAAAATTACTATTACGCTTTCAAAGCAGAATCGATTAATCTTTTGACCGAATATTTTTTTCTTCAAGATTTAAAAAAATTTAAATATATGTCTCAACTTTTAATTCCTTATTCTACGTGATTTAAAGTTTATGTTTAAATTCCTTTGTTTATCATATCGTCTAGTACGATACTATCAACTGTTAGAGATTTCGAGACAATAAGAGTCATTTGTCTTTTTTGATTGATCATAATTCATAATTAATGTATGATCAATAAAATAATTTAAATTATTTTACACATAAATTCAATCTTGAAATATTAAATAATTTCTTATATATTCAAGAAATGTGAAATATATCAAATATTTTTCCATAATTTCATAATATGGCCATGATTCCGAGACACCGCGGCAACTTTTTTAATCTATGGAGATAAAAAATGTTTTATATTCATAGTCATAAATCAAAGTATTTTCTGCATATCTTTATATAAGCGGGGCTTTCCTCTCTTTTCACAAATAGATGCGCGATATGAAATGACGTCGAAGGATAAAGCGCGTATGCAAACAAGAAAAAGCTGAAAAGAGAATAATATATATCATGCATTCTACTAAACAATACCAGATACAAGCTGTAAAAGAGAGAAAAACACGAACAGACAATAGAGAGATTAAGTTCTGTCACAATAGTGGAGATAGTGATTTGATCAGTAATAATGAGGAAATCTTTTTGCTTCTAGTTTATTTTAATTACTTTCACGTGAACATTTTAACAAGCTAAACTTTTTCATTCGCTTAGTTTTCGCATAATTGTGTATTTAATATTTTGTATTAAAAAAAAAATAAAACGTTTTGGAAATTACAGAAGAAGTTAACGAAATTTATTTTTTCCGATAAATTTTGTATCAATAAAATTCCAATAAAATAAAGAAAAAATCAACATCGTTTGTTAATATATCGGATCATTATTGTTTTATTGTTTAATAATCTATAATTTGTATTAAGAAAGAAATTGATAAATATTATAGCTTGTACGAAAAGCGATAATAATTATTTTCTTTCGAAATCCGAATAATAAATATAAACATGTGAAATATATAAGCCAAATAATATACAGAATGTCCAAAATTCATAACTGACCTTTCAGAAGATGAAAGAGGGTAAAATTCTGAAGCAAAAGTTTCTGTGTCATTTTTTCTCTGGTCAATATTCATTGAATTTTTAATAATTAAGTCAACGAATCCGTATGCTCTGCAATGTCGACTCAAGCGACGTAATTTCGAGCCAATTCTGTAAAGTCACAACTGTTTTACACCCTTTTCAGGGTCACCAAAATATGTCACATAGAGTTAAATAAATAATTTTCGTTTCACTGTTTGCTTCATTCATTAATTTCCACTTTTAGCTATTTAACCGTTTGACATGGTGGATCCATTCAATGCTGGCCATTCAACGTGATCGATCCGTATGTTGTAATGTCGGTCAATTAAAATAATCGATCCATTTACTGTTCGTTATTTCACATTGAACATGATTTCTCTCTTTATTGTCGGTCGTTTCACTTTTTGATATGTTCCTAATGCTCCTCTCCTTTCCACTCTTTTTATCATACAATCATTCGGTCACAATTGACTCATCAATTGATTAAAAAAATCAAATAAAATAATATAAAAAGTACGGATGTTAAGAATAGAGGATTCAATGACTTAATGATTAAATAACTAACAGTGAATAATGATCGACAAGAAAAATAACACAGGTCTCAAAATTTTACCATTTTTCACCCCTTGAAAGGTCAATTATGAATTTTGGGACATTCCGTGATATAGACTGAGGGAAAAATTTTTTTGAATCAAATAAATTTGTTTTCTTGAAACTTTTGCTCTGGAAGGAATTGTTTATTTCATTTAAGCAAAAGCATTTAATTTTAATTAAATATGAATGTTATATTAAGTACAGTTATTTTCATTTATATATTTTTTATATTTAAATACTATTTTCGTAAAATATATACTATAATTTATTAAATTAAATATATTATTTTTTAAAATTAAAAAATTTAAAATTTTACGGAATAAAAAATGCATTTTAATAAATATTATATTTTGTAAAATTAAAATATAAAAATATTTAATTAAAAATTATATTTTTTTAAGCATATATATTTTTTTAAACATATGTAAATAAATACTGAACTTAAGCAAACACACGTTTTGCATACAAGTAAATACGTGATTAGTACCTACCGAATAAATAGCTTTCTTGAGTCAACTAAAATTTTTTTATTTCAAAATAATTTTTTCCTCAGTGTATATATTGAAGAGAGAATGAAAGAGAGAGAGAGGGAGCGTGTCACACTAAATAGGTACGATTAGTAGTATCTGCTGGAACTTCTTAATCAAAGAAACTTGTTGGAGGAAATTGCGAACTCGATTACAATGCAATTGACCGGTGAAAAGAGACTGATGTAAACACGTCGCATTCCTGCAACTTTAGATATACAAACAGATTGCAAATTACTAATTAACGTGTCGGGTGCACATGGGAGCATTTTAGAATTAAATTATAACTTCTCGAATACACAAACGTTTCAATTGCTTCGAGAGAAATTCTAGATGCATCTAGTCTTGATGTTGATTGAATGATATGTATATACGAGCAGCTACATATTTTTTTCTTAAAAACAATTATTTGCTTTCTTCACGATTCTGTTTATTATTTTATGTGTAAAAATATTAAAGGATATAATAATCAAAAAATGAATACTTTATGAGATATTGTATAGAGATTTTATATATGTATATAAAAATTAACTATTTAAT